GGGGGGGAGAAAGGGGTCGACGTGTTTGTGCTCTCCGGGGTGGGGCTGGGCGAAGTGAATATAACCCCAGCCGGCCGCCGGCCCGAGTGATAAGCGCGGGCAGGCTGCCGGGCCGGCCAGGCCCAGGGGGGCCAACTAGGAGAGGAGGAGAGCGTGCGGCCGAGCAAATAGACGCCAGCCCGGCCCGGGTCCGGCCGCTTCGGGGGCTAAAGGCAGCCTACCGCACACGCAAATCAGAAAGCGGTTTTTGCCGTTTTCTCCTCCTCATCGCGCTTGGCTGGTCGGGTTGCATCCGTCCCGGTCGGTGCGGTCAGCAGCGCGGGGGCGGCCGGGGGCGGCGCTGGTCTGGCGGCCCTTAGCGCTGCTCCCCTGCTCCCCCATCACGCGCGGGGGCGGGCCGAAGGGGGAGGGGGTAGTGATTCGACCCGAGAGAGAGTGGATTGAATGATATGCTATCTGATGAGCGAGCCGCCTCTCTATCCAAAGGACCTCGCCTCCCGACCCGCCGCGCGCTGCGGGGAAAAAGTAGTGAGACCCCCGCCCCTGCTCGCCCGCCTCCCCTCCCCATTTCCTCGTATATAATGAGAGATTTGGATTGGGACCCGGCGACGAGCTGGGATCAGCAGGGGGGAGTCCCCCATTCAATATTTCGCCACCGCCGCAACGACCATACTACCGGCGCGGCGACCCTCCCCCCCCCCCCTCCCACTACCACGATTACCAACGACTGCTTCTCAGCTTCTCCACCCCTCCAATGCCCCGTTTCAGTTCCCAGTGAGTTAGGATTAGGCGGGTCTCCATCCGAGGGAATAAGGCTTGACCTGCGCCCTCCCCTCCGCTCCGCGTCTGCAGTCCGGCCTGCAGCTTGGACTAATGCTGCTCTACTTGAGTGTCCCTCTGGCCGCCTCTGGCAGCAGAGACGAACGGCCAGCCGTACGTCTGTACCCCCCCCCCCCTCTTTTAAACTGCGCCCGGTAAGTACGCTAATGATTTTGCACTCATCACAAACGACCGGCAGCAGTACGCCCTCCTCGACCCACCACCGTCACTTTAACGAAATTTATCACCCGTCCCCCGCCGAACAGGAGGGTCGTAAGTTCTGCTGACACGCCGGGGCTCCCAGAGGGGGTGGATGTCCGAGGGGGAGGGGTAGTTAACATCGGGAGTCTAGTTGTTCCGGGGGTATCATCCATCGAAAACCTTTCCTAATGCACGGATCAGGGCAGTCCCTCTCCTAGCCGGTCGTTTCGCGCCCGAAGCGAGTTGAAAACAAAAGAAGCAGTGGTGGAAATCTTTAGGAGAGTTTAATCGGGAGCAGCAGAGAGTTCCCCCGCTCAGGTCACGAGGGAGAGGGGCGCGGCGCTGCGGTAGCTGCGGCAGAGCAGGCAGCAGGCGGCGTCGAGGAGCAGCAGCAGCGCCACCAGGAAGGCCACCCCGGCCAGGACCAGCTCGCCGAGGGTCACCTGTTTCAGGTGCGCCACCAGGACCAAGGTGGCGAACAGTGCGAACGCGAGGAAGCCCACGACCAGGAACGGCAGCATCTGCAATCGGAGGCGTTGTCGTTCAAGCACGCGTCTTAACAAGCACCATTGTCATCCCCATAAATTCCTAGACGGGAAACAAACCCGTGATAGAGTGGTCTACCAAAAAGAAAAGAAAAATTATTATCAGTTTTGGGAACTTTTTTTACAGTGCACCGTTTGTTTTCGTCACACTCTCACCACGCTGCCGGGAATAGGCAGCCCTGCGAAGCGAGACACCAGGTCGACGACGAGCAGGCAGAACAGCCCGCCCCACACGCCCATCATAGCGTCCACCAGGACGCGGCCCGGCACCGGGCCGACGCGGGCGCCGCCCTCCGCGACCATGCCGTCGACGGCGACCCTGTCGGTTCTATCTCACTGCCGAACCGTCCCTATCGTGCCTATAGAAGGGAGGGCGACTAACCCCGCCGCCGCCTTGTGACTACGCTGGGTACATCAACACTGGGCCTGGCGTTCCTTCCATTTCAATGCCTTAATGTTGGAAAGCAGTCTGGAAAATATGGTGTCACGACAAAAACATTACTTTCTTTTACTTCCAGCGAGCTTTCAAGAACGCGACTCGTGGATCACTATATGGGCCTTCCGGACCAATCCGATATTGCCAACATAATTAAGGAACGGCTTTCTGAGATGACTGAAAAGTAATGTAAGTGTGGCGCGATAAAAGAAACAAAGAATATATGACTTAACGTGTGTATATTAGGTATATTTCTCGGAGACATGAACTCTCTTCGTTTAGGAGTGGATTGAAACGTGGCTTACCTAGCACCGGTCCCGTTTATTATGAAAATGGTGGAATACCGTTCGAGCTGTGTATTGTTGGGAAAGCCAAGCTAAGTTTAGCCCAGATGCAAGCTCTTATAGCGCCTTGTGGGTAGGCAACATCATGCCTTCAGTGCATGCGCGTACTGCGGGGGTGCCTACCCAGCGATTCGCAGGCGCCGACCTCCCCTTAATTTGCCGAATGAATCTATGAGAGAAGAAATCTGAGAATAGAATGTGGTTCTTATGGTCTCTTTTTTGTTGCGTCTGTGTTACGGTTTGTTCTCAGCTGGTGAAATACGTCCTTTTAAGAAAGGAGCTTTCCATGCTGCTGTGGGTGCTCAAATCCCTATTGTTCCTGATGTGTACTCTCCATACTGCTTTCTTGACGAAAGACACCATACACTGGATAGCTGGATTGTGGTGAGTTTTTTGTGACCATCTAAACGGTATTGGTACTAATAATTGCTGCTTTCATTATTTTTATTAATGGAGGAAATATCATAATTTCTGCTTTGCCTCCTATTCCAACTAAAGGGTTGAACGTGAATGATATTTTTTTCCTTATTTTAGAGTAATCATATCCCAGTGAGAGATGAGTTTTCTTCAACGTCGATTCGACGTCGAAACAGTCGAATAAACGCTATTTTGTCCCCCAAATCCACATCTTTTCGATGTCAATTCGACGTAAAATCCACGTACCCATCTCACTGGGTTTGGGGTACTTATAGTGGTTGTAACTTTACACTAAACCACATACCGAAGAACACAGATTGCTTAATTATCAACACCCATTTCTATACAATACCATCGCTATGAACAAGCAGTCGTTGTAACCCTTGACCCTCAAGCACCACCGCACTGGGTAGTGGGTACACAAATGAGAGCCCTTTGCGTTCTTCCCATTTCAAGGTGTACTTTCATACTGGAAAACTAGAAAATGCTGCAGAATTGGTGCTACGACAACACTATTTCTTTTTCTTTCAGTGAGCTATTTCGAGAAGATCAAGCTTCCAATAACACGACTCGTGGCTGGTGGCAACGATGGGCCTTCCCGGCTATTCCGGAAATGCCAACACAACATCATCTTTCGAACTTTAGATTTTTTCAAACAGCAGGTATTCTTGGTACGCTTTTGTGAAGAGGTTATGACATTTACAAGCTATATTGGGGTTTTGTGACAAAATAAATCTCATAGAAGTGTCCCTCAAATGGAAGATTTTCTTTGTAAGTAGTTGGCATTTCCTCACCGCCTGCAGCAATTCTTGAAAAAGAAGTTTCTGGGCCTTCTACCTCTTGCTGTAGCAGAAAGATGTGACACTTCTGTTGTTTTGATTCTGATTGCTTTGGATTTCTTTAGATTTCAAGATGTCTTGAACTCTTCACGTGGCTTAAGTTACTTTCATCTTGATATTTTATTTCAATTTGTGGAGTGTGAGCAAATTTGTGGGTGCAAAACTTTTAGGTTAAAAAACACTTCAATTGAAGATGTCATGGTTGACAGATTTGGCAGGGAAAGCAGAAAACCTGCTGAACAAAATAGACCAGAATGCTGCTGTTGTCTTGAAGGATACAACCCTTATTAATGAACAGTTACAAGATGTCATCTGGAAATCCAAACCTACAGGGTGGTATGTAAAGCACTACTATTTGTAATTGATTTTTCTTACATTCAAAAACCATTTGTCTGATTTTCATTTGTACAATATTTTCAGGAAACAGGAAGGCGATGAAGTTTCTTCATCATACAATCAAATGCAAATTTCTTCACCACCTCGTTCTGCACCCAGTGGGTCAGCTTCACCTGCCAGGAAACCATCACCAAACCGATCTGAAATAACTTTTCAAAAGAAAAATTATGAGGATGATTTGTTATCTTTTCTAAACAGTTCTGATACTATATTGGTAAATAACTTTGAGAAAGAAATTACAGGATAGTTTCTAGATT